AAATTGCCTATAATATGGCGATTGAATGGGTATCCACTCTTACCCACCGCACTCTTGACTAGTGGAGGGTCGTTAGCCGAACGGGTAGGATAGGACGAAACCTTCCATTATAAGTATAATGAAATACAAAGTAACTAAATGTTTTTTAAATTCCCAATCTTAGTTACTTAGGCAAAAGTGAATTGATGCAATTCCATGAAATTACACTTTGTGCCCTTGCGAAGACGTTAGTGGAGCGTGTGTGGTTTACCGGCACACTAAATGGTTCTAAGCAAAGGTAGCAAAGGGTGACTCAATGTTTTTCATAGTTCGGTGGAGCGTGTGTGGTTTACCGGCACATCGAATAGGTGACTGTAACATGTGAGGGCACCATGTAAGTTTGCATGGTTATTCACACCCGCTTTGTGATCCTCGGCATCCCAGTCACAAACAAGGGGGGCATATCGAGATTTAAACATGCCATTGAAAGTTCAATGAATCTCAAAGGATCTAGGAGTTTTCATAGATTTAAAACTTAAATTTCTTTTTCGTTTTTCGTGGTGGAAATTAGTGAATCGTCATTCACTTACCTTCAAATATTCTGCAATTAGGGTTACGATATCCCTCTCCCGAGTTGTAGAATATTGTGTTGGGTCCTAGCCTTAGTATTTCATTTGGGTGATTTACTAAGGACTCAATCTATCAACTAACTTGAATTCGTTTTTCTCCCATTTTGTAGATGTCAAAGTTCGACAACTATGGTCTTCCCAAATCAACGTAGAACAAGCATTCCACATGAAGATGATATTCCACGATTCAATTGAGGAACAAGAAATCATGCTTCACTTCCTCCTCCTCCTCCTATTATTCTCCCTAACCCACAAATTCAAAGGCTTGAAAAGTTCAAGATCACTCAAGCCCTTTTGGCAAGTGAACATAAAGAAGGAAAGTCGTTTGTGTGCACACGTCCTAGGGATGAAGTCACACATTGATAGGTTAAGAATGTTGTGATCCGTTGTCTATGAGGAAATGGCTGTTGATTGGGTTCTTCAGTCACTTCCTAACTCATATAGTGAGTTCGCAAGAGAGTACTATATGATAAACCACGACGTGACCCTTATAGATCTTACCTATATGCTTATTGCTGCTGAATCAGCAATGGTTTGGCGCAATAGAAAAGCAAAGTTGATTGGTGAATCTGCCTTCAGGACCTCTATGGATATAGACAATGCCCAATGAAAGACATGCAATGATCGAAAAGTTTGATCATAAGAGAAAGGCGATGTCTGAAGTAGTTCCATGTGTTGTTCCAAAAGAGTCAATTTGCTTTTATTGCCAAGAGAAGGGGCATTGGAGACGAAGTTTCCCTATTTACCTAAGAGATCTAAGAGATGGGAGAGTCAAAAGTATGACTACACTTCAGGTAAAATCCACTATCTAACTCCGTTAAGTTCCTATTCATTGATTCTTAATACATGATGTGATAAGATTGCATTTGAATGTTTTGAAGGATCGGTGAAAAGAAAGGAAGCTTGATAAGAGAGCAAGATGAATCTAATCACAAGAGATGGATCTTGATCGCATGGACTTGAAGATTGGATTTTGAGCTTAGATAGTTATGATAGAGTTGTTAGAAAATTTCCTTTTACATAGTTTTCAATAGATTTTGCATTGTAAGGACAAATGTTTTTCCGCTGCTTTTATAAATAAAATAAATTTTGTTTGACTTATTTATTTATTTATTTATTTCCTTGTGATGAAATCATTATGAAAATTGATGTTTGCATATTTCTACAACGAATGGATATGATTCTTAGTTATGTTATTTATGGAAATGTCGAGAATTTACCAAATATGGAGAGTATCTCATCGCCCAAATTTCAATTGGACTGAAATTTGGAATCACGCAACTTGATTGCATAATGAATGAGAAATTTCATATTTGGAAATTAGACAAATTCGTTGACAAAGTGTCAAGTGAAGGACTAGGAGATCGAGTACACAAAGTTGTGTGTTGATCAAGTTCACCATAAGAGTAACAAAGATATTCGTCATGATTTACTAAAGGCTTAGTAAATATGATTATACTTACAAGATTAAGTGTAATTCTAAATTGAATAAAGGGTTTAGATCAATAGTAAAACGAATAAGAAGAATCAAGTAGGCAGAAAGATAAAAGTTTCTCCATTCTAAGAAGAATGGAGAGTAGCTTTTATGCTTTATGATAGGTCTTAATGATTAAGAACCATGTCTCAATTGATCCTCTAAGTAAGTCTTAGTACAATTGTATGTTTAAGAAGAGGAATCAAGGATTGAAGAAATGGTTAACTCAAGAATTCTATCATACTTCGTTCCAATAACAAGTCTTAAAGTTAAGATTGTGACAATGAGTAAAAAGTATTAAAGGTTTATAACATTCATCAAATGTGGAAATTTGTGATGTCTTGGATAAGACAAAGACCAACTAGGACCAATTTATGAAGTGTTTTGATAAAAGCTACACTAACTCTTGAATATTTGGTTGTCAACAAATGTTTATTGACAAGAGAATCTTATATGTCAAGGAGTCAGTGGGAGTCTTAATGGTCTTGAAAAGTTTCAAGAACAAATCAAATAAACCTTATCAATCATCACTAGCACACGAGTTGAGGTTTACAACCTATCGTGTTGATGATATTTTGATTCTGTGCTGTTCCAATTGAGTTAATTATGCATGTGAGTCCTATGAGTACTCATTTTGAATGCATAAAAGGCAAAGCACCTTGATCAATGAAAGGTACATTGATAGGAAAAGGGTGAGATGCTTAACTACTTGGAAGATGTGGTGGGAAGCTGTGCTACCATAAGGCAAGAAATCAAGATTTAAAAAGGCTCGATCCATATGAGTTTGAATTTTTCGTAAAGTTTGGTTTTAACAAATTCACATGGATAGGAACAAATACACCATTTAAATCTAAGTGTCATAAGATTTCCTCCTTCATGAAAATGATTGTGAGGAAATGCTTTCACTAAGAAAGATTTTAAAAAGATAGTGATTGTAAAATTGCATTCTCGAATTCGATCATGGTTACGGTATCCCTTTCCATAGTTCGAATTGTGAGGTTTGGCAATTAATCTTAATTGTTTAGACACACATATGAACTATCGAAGGCAAAGGTGTATAAGTTCAAGAAACCTTGATAAAATATTATCAAAGCACTAAGTATTAGAAACATGAACTTAAGAAATTCAATAAGTATTGTCTTTCTGAAAGTTAAGATGTTCATAAATATATGTCGAAGCTAGTGGGAACATAAGTGTTATGTTTTATAATAATCATCATGATAGTGGGAGCATAAAAGTTATGATTGTATGATTATTAAGGAAAGTATTGCAAGGTTAGCAATATTAATTATAGAAAACAAGAGTCATACTTTGCAAAGTTGTAAGAGTTGAAAGGTTGTTTTGCTATAACTAAGGGAGAGAATATTATGCTTCATTTCAAATCTAAAGGATTAGGTTGAGAAATGTTAATAAACTTAGTCAAAGGTACATAGTGTGTTCTTAAAGTTTCGATTATGATTACGACATTCGTCTTCACAATTCGAATTTTGAGAACATAGCAAATAAAACATTATGCGTCGTGTCCCATACGCTTCGGGTATAGGATCGATTGCAAATGCTTTAATGATTGACTATTCTAAATTTTTCCAAATGTCTAGCGCATTTAGAGGGAAAAAGGACTAGAATCGGTTTTGACTAAAATAATTAAACAACTATCAAAGGACAATCCAAAGTTCGACGGGGATTGGTCGCTTGTGAGTAGTTGGAAGTATAGTATTGGAAAATATGGAAATGTTTCCATATTGGATGGACCATATCGACATCATTACAAATAGAAAAGATTCTATTAAGAATGAGTTGTCATGAGGAAAATATGGAAGCGTGTTCATATTAGGAAGTAAATATTGAAAATCTATGTCTAGATTAGAAACTTTTATTCAAAAGGATGTTCAAAGGAATGTACTTTGAGAGAGAGACATCATATCTAAGGAATTGTCTTGTAACAATCTCTGATAGAGGACTTTGTAATATCATTGGCAATAATCTTTGTGACTCTGGTGCAGTGACATTACGAAAGGATCGTTACATAAAGTGTTAGAATCTAGCATCACTACTAGAAAAACAACCTTTTACGACGCGCAAAACACGACGCTCTTTGATTTATGTTACGCATTAGAGAGTGACATTAAAAAAGTATCATCTCTTCAAAAATTTTAAGGATTTAGGTTGCGCATTACTAAGTACCTTTAAATTAGTGTCTCATGTAAAAATATTAAAAACACGGAAGGCACTTGTGCGTCATCTGTGAATGTCGTTTTATATTTTTTTTAAGAAACGCGCGTATCCGAGGGAAAATGAAATCCCCAAATTTTTTAAACCCCCACCTTCTTCTCCCTCGTCTCCACCCCTCATCCACATCCACTACCTCCAATCCTCATTTCCTCTTCTAGCCTCAAACTACGGCGATGCACCTTCCTTCTCGAATAATGCTTCATTTACCACCATCGTCCGATTATGTGAGCCCAAGGAATTGACGGAGACAAAGAAGATTATGGATCAATTGCTTCACATCATGTTTAAGGTTAAGGGTTTGAGATATCTTCCAAATCGACCCTCACACCAAATGGTTCGATCTCCTCTCTTTTTACCTTGTTCGTTCTACTGATGCCTCCACCTTCTACCATCGATGTTGATCTTCGAATTAGCAACAAGAAGCCCTAGGGCCTCTTCCTTCACCCACCTCCAGCGCCTCCAACAAGAAGCCCTAGGTCCCTCGCCTTCACCCACATTCTCACATGTTAAAGACACGCCATCCCAAAATTGGAAAAACTAGGGCTTTTGTGCTTTGGATCTCACAGGAAACAAGTTTTCCTCGTCCCCACCTCGCCCATCCAAATTCCTTCTTCTTCAAATGATTAAATGTTCTTACCTCTCAATCGTACCTGAATCAATATCTCTGTCTCTCTTGTGTCTATTCTCTAAACCAAATACACTCGATTCATCTTCTGTTCCGCATACAATGGCCATGCCACCAGTGGCACCCCAGCTACCACCGCTTCAAGCACCGAGTTCCACCTACAATGACTCACAAATCCACCCACTGACTCATGACTAAGTATCGCCGGCTGTGGTGCCCAATTCTTCACCACCATCCCCTTATCCCCAATCCTACCCTTAAACCCGTCAGGAAGAATCGCATCCAGACCAACTTCTTTACCACCACCGGAATTCGAGTCGGTTTTTTTGTCATCTGGTGGCGGATCTTGAACCATCCACAAGAATCCTTGCTCACTTTTCTGTAAACCAATAGCTATTTCCTTCAACTGCTCCTTCTTCAACACACCCTGACTCCCAAAGCATAAAAACACTACACTTTTACTCGGTTGTGAATTCAACCATTTTAAGCACTCGTTTTCGCTAGGATCCACATGATTGCCACCGGCGATCAAAGGTCCGATGAAATAAATAGGCGGAGTTGGACCGTTGGGGATGCATTTACCTTCCCGGAACGCGTCAACAGCCCTTTCTTCAAACCCCACGAAGGTGTTTGCCATTGGGGATGCAAATTGATCGTCTTCTTCAAAACACCCTTCCAAATTTCTTAATTTTGTTGCTCATGGCAATACCGTAAGTTTGTCTTACATGCGCTCTTTTGATCCGACTACTTGCTTTTGTGTTGATTGACTAAGTCAGTGGATCTCTCGATATGTTTTTGTTGCGATCCCTATTTTTGATGGATCTTTTTCTAAATGTAGTTGGGAACTATTTTTGCTTAGATTACAATTTAGCATATAGGTGATTCAAAACTATTGCTTGCAGCAGAAACTCATCTACTGTTGCTTAATGCCATATGTCGAAGTATTAATTTGCATTATGCTTTCTACTAGATCAAGCTCCACTCATCAACTGCTAGGGGTCTACTGTTTAGCTAATCATGGAGCCAATCTGATCTTGCTAGCCTACCCTTTTGCTTTTTCAGGTTTACCAATTTATGGATCTTAAATAGTTCATTTCTAATTATGGGCTACCAATTGTTCAGAGTGCAGGTAAATCAGCAGTTTTGAAAGTTTGATTGGGCATCTTGCTCTGGTACGACTTTCATTTTTCTTTATTTTCATATTCAATCTGGACATATATATTCACTTTATGTTTTTTCTAATTCATTATGATAACAAAACAAGTCATTTCAATTTTCAAATTAAGTTGAGCAGCCAACTGGTGAAGGTGGTGCAACTCGCGCACCTTTATGTATTGAATTAAAGAGGGATGGTAACTTAAGTAGCAAATCAATTGTAATGCATATTGATAGAAAATCCCAACCTGTGTCTGCAAGTAAGTCCTCATGTCATACTTAAGGGCTTAAGCCAAGTCGACACACACATACACACACATTTAGTAATAGGGTTCTATATATATATATATATATATATATATATATATTATATATATATATATATATATATTATATATATTTGATTATTGAATCTGAATGCTCTTTTTGTCCACCAACGGGTGCTCTTCGACACTCATTACAGGATAGGCTTAGTAAAGTTTCAAGCAAGAGTCGGGATGAAATATTTTTGAAGCTTAAAACAAGTTTGGGTGAGTCTGTTTGCTTAAAAATATCAAGAATTTGACAAATGCATCATAGTAATTAGGTTTCTTTTTATACCACTTAGGCTTGATTGTTTGTTTGCTTCATTTTTTTTAAAAAAAAATTCTATGTTTTTGACATATTCGAGATACAATTTAATTCCTTGTTTGATGTATTTCACTATTCCTAGGGGAGGGTGAAGGAATTCAATTCCATGGTATGCTACGTGTTGTGCAACAATCATTACTAGGGTCAATTTTGGCAAACATGTTGCTTGTTCTTGGATGCACGTTTTTCTGTGGAGGAATCTTTCTTCCTAAAAAGGAACACGTTTTGCAGCCAAATGTTGTGATGAGCTAAGGTTTGCTATTAATGGCAGTGATGGGTCTGTTACTCCTTGCTATTCTTCACTTCACACACACTGAATTGCATTTGGGAAAGTCAGAATTGGCCCTTTCAAGATTTAGCAGTTGTGTAATGCTTATTACATATGGGGCCTACTTCTTCCTATTGTTGGAAATGCAGCAGAACATGCAAGTGCCATCATGTTTGTCATGAAAGACAAGCTTGTAAGTTATTAGTCATTACAAGAATCATAATTCATTTTATTTAGTTTTTTAAATATTTTTAGTTACAATCTTTGCAGGATATCTCTTTAGGAGTCGCGATTGGCTCCTCAACACAAATATCTATGTTTGTTGTACGTGTTTTTTTCTCTGTATATTAAAAGAAAGGTTAATTTAAAGAAATAGCAGCATAATTTAAACAAATACTAACTTTTATTTTAAAATTTTTGTGTTTGTAACTGCAGATTCCATTTGTGTGGTTGTTGGGTGGATCATGGGGCGTCCTTTGGACCTAAATTTTCAACTTTTTGAGACAACAACTCTTATTATGACAGTTCTAGTAGTGGCTTTCATGTTGCAAGTAAGCCTCATATTCATATATTTTTACAAAAATTTGATTAATTAAAATTTTCATTTAAAAATGGTTCTTTTATATATTTGTAGGATGGAACATCCAATTACTTCAAGGGAGTAATTCTTGTGTTTTGCTATTTGATAGTTGCTGCAAGTTCTTTGTACATATAGACCCTCTATCTATACGTAAGTTATAACCATTGTTCTCTTTCATTTGACTTTTGACTAGACCTTTTTTCTTCTACATTGTTTATGGAACTGACTTTTGTCTCTGGTTTTGCAGAAGATAAACCTTAAAGCTTTGAATCCATCATAAAGAGTTTCAAGTCAATTGTATGTTCTGGTTTGACTTTCCTTGATGGCATATAGTTATTATTATTGCATACTACTACTAACTTAACCGAGATGAATGGATTGCAGTGTTGCCTAGGGCTTTGGTGGCAGGATTTGTGAAAACAAATAAATATTTCCTTTTTGCTTTCGGTGATTTTATATTGAATGCATGTAGTATCACAGAGTTATAAGCAACTAGTTGGTTTGATTCCTTACTTATGGATTGTTATGAATTCAGTTCAATCATCAGGAACAACTATGACATTTGGTCCAGGAACGTTCCTGGACCAAATTATTTCGTATCTGTTTGAATTCTTTGAAAAGTTTGATGTTGTGGTTATCAGTTGCTGCTTACTTACTGCCAAATACAATGGTCCATGCATCTTTTAATTGGCTGCTAGTTTAAATTTTCTTTTATTTTTATAATCATTTTCATTTTAAATCTTACTAGCTTTTAATCTTTCCATCATGACAAGAATTTTGTATTCTTATCTTGTTGATAGGTCCAAAGAAACTTGAATGGGATTGGACCATTGTGCTTCCTGATTTGCTGCTATCAATGGATGTTGTGTGAATCCTCATTGAAGTCTTCATTTTGGTTTAAGAGAACAAGGTGGAGAGTCTAAAAAGAGACAAGTTAGCAACAGAGAATCTCCTCCAATAAAAAAGTTACAACAGAGAATCTTCTTCCCCTTTGTTCACACTTTACATAATCACTTTCAATAATATTATCTTCACTCTTCCTATAGTTTCTTCATTATTAATTTTTATGAATCTTTTCTAGGTAGTCTTTGGTAATGGAACCGTGGATGTGGTGGTGGTGGTGGTTATCGTGGTGGTGCCCCAGTCAACCAAATCCAAACCTTAATTTAGCTGCTGCTGGGCTTACCCCTGGGTAAGTGAGAGTCAAAAAGATGTTTTTGCCCCTCTTTATTATTATTATTATTATTATTATTATTATTATTATTATTATTATTATTATTATTATTATTATTAATTTAAATTTTTCTCAATTCATGTGGGCTTTATTATTATGAACAAGTTTATGATAAATCTGATGTTTTTGATGCTCTTTATTTTACTGCAGTGGGCAGATGAAATCTGAACAGGAGACCATTATGGCCCAGGCTTAACAACATATAGTTATGCAAGTACTACAGAGTTTATTATTATTATTATTATTAATTATTATTATTATTATTATTATTATTATTATTATTTATGTACGTTCAATGCTTTGAAACATCATGTTTTTATTTGTCGAAAATGGCCTTACAAGTTGGAGGGTTTAATCTTCCCGGATTACCTAGATTACCTGATGAGATTCCAACTAAAGTTTTGTGTTTAACTGAGGTACCTTATGTTTTTTCTATTTTAAAAAGAAAAAATGTAAATGATGTTTAAATAATATTTTTGAGAAAATGTTAGGAGTTGGTTAATGTGGAAAACCTCATTTTGAGAAAATATGATATTTTTGAATAATTTTGGTAAAAGCAAGCATGGTTTTTTTGGTGCAATGAAGGTGATCAATGCTGATAAATTGATGGATGATGGAGAATATGAAGAAATATTAGAGGATATGAGGGAAGAAGGATGAAAATTTGGTAAAAAAATACTCGAATTGACAACCCTTTTCTGTAAATGATGTTGTGATTGTGGGAGAGGTATTGTGTTTTTCTCTGTTGCTAGGTAACCTTTTCAACAACAGCATTCTACTTAAGCAGGTGAGTAATCAAGATTAAGGGAGACTTGTAATCATCTTTGGCATTCCTTTCCAGTAAGAAACAGAGTTGTATGATTATTTGTTAGTTTTATAGGAATGTATAACACATGTTAGCAATGTATTATTTTTGTTTAACATTTGAATGATTCTTTGTATGACATTATAATTTGTGCAATTTATTTTATTTTTTGAGTATGAAATTTTATTTTATATTATGCAATGGATTGTATTTTTTGTATATTGTATTTTATTTCTATTATAAGAAATTAAATGCAAATTTAATTTAAAAATTAATAAATATATAAATTTATTTTTTTTAAACATTTAAATTTACGATACACAAAAATGTGTGTCATCTTCATTTATGACATGGCCTTTCTTGACAGGGGCTTTCTTGATACGCATTGCGTGTCATTAACACGCGCGTCGTAAGGTTACGACACGCGAATGCGTGTCGTCTTCCTTTATGACAGGGCCTTCCTTGATACACATTGTGTGTCGTAAACGCGCGTCGTAATTGCGCGTCGTAAATGAGCGTCATAAATGCGCGTCGTCTCTCTTTATGACAGGGCCTTCCTTGACGCGCATTTGCGCGTCGTCTGAGCCTTTTACGACGCGCAATGAGCGTCGTAAAAGGCTGTTTTTCTAGTAGTGCATATTCTATAAGTAGCAAGAATTTGATATTCTTACACTTATGAAAAAGGATTTGGAGTTGTAAAATGAGAATGATTGGAAATGTGTTCAATTTGTCTATTTCAGAAAAGTAAGAACCATAGGAAAACATTGTGTGCATGCTAGGAGCATGGGACAAGTGTAATAATTCAAGTAAGAAGTTGATTACCCGAAACGGCAAATAATGAGTAATCAATATGGTGATAAATAAAAGGCGTTTTATTTATACTCAAAGGTTTGAGGCCATATGGGATTAGTATTATTCTTGTGTTTCACATTTGCATGTTTTGACTTCCAGAATAATTGAGTTTATTAGGAATAATCGAATTATTCAAACGAGCCACAGTCGTTCATATGTTGGAAGTAGATATGAATGAAGACTGTCGTGAATTGGTGTGTGGATTGTCTAAAGAGCATTAGACATAAGCAAATGTTTGCTGCAACGTTCATGAGTGCTTACGAATATGATTTGAGCATTGGATAAAACACGCTAACTTGGATCACTCCATGAATTGTGTCACGAGTGATTGGTGAGACGATAACATCTTATATTCTTGAAACCGAGATGTGTGAGTTGTATCTTGCCAATCGGTTGTACATTGATAATATGTAAACGCACTAGTAACTTGGTGTTATAAAACATATTGTTGTGTGTGATTCGGTGCGTGAGTGCAAGCGAGCATTGTATCAAAGTTTATCCATTCGTTTTATTCAAAGTAGGATAAAGGCGATATCTTTGGGCCCCTCGATGGTTTAGTGATGACAAACGTAAATGCTCGGCCGGGCTAGGGCTAATTTGATTTGTTCAATTAGTCTGTCGTCATAAATCAGAAATCGAGAAGTAGTACAAAGAGAATGATTTGAAATCATATCTCATACGATATCTAGAATGGAGGAATATATGATCCCTTATCTAAGGACACACGTATCTGATATGATCAGAGTTGACAGCGGCTTTGGAAAGCTACGATTGCATATCAGGATCTAAAGTCATACGCATAATAGTTATTCGACTTATCCAAGTGGGAGACTGTTGGATTAGTGTCTAAGTCCATAACTATTTTGGTATGTACTTGACCCGATGGTGCATAGTCCTTTTGGGTTGCCTTCACCAAAGCAACTTGATTGGAGAAATATATAGAGAGAGAGGATAATATGATTTATTAATATGTTATAAGAATAATATATTAAAGGAGAAATCATATTTGTTTAATTAATATTGGTCAATAATTAATTAAGAATTAATTTTGTGATCAAATGTAATTAATTAAACTAGAGGGGCTGATTTGTAATTATGTGATAGTTACAAAATAAGGTAAGGATTATCTTATATATAGGGTGAACGAATGTAAGGAGATAATGCCTTAGAATTCAACTATGATAAGGATTCAAGGATTATCTTATGGGTTGCTTTTTGGATAAGAAACTAGATAAGGATAATGATTGAAACCCTATCTTTACACCTATATAAAGACCCTAAGGCTCATGAATTCGTGTATCCCTTCCCAAGAAGTCCTAAGGACAAATTCTAACC